ATTGTTTTTTAGAATAGTCACCTTTGTACTTAGATATGAAACAATAGCTACAGTCAGTTTTAGAATGCTGTCATCACATCAAAAGGCAATGTCATCCTCTTTAGCTACTACACTCTTGGCCCCATCTTCCAGCTTTCAATGACTGCTAATCTACTTTCAGTTCTCTGGACTACCCTGCTCTGTACTTTCCTATATGTAAGCAATCTTTTGTAACTAGCTTTGATCACGTAGCATCACATTTTGAAGGCCCACCCATGTTGTCCCACATAGCAGTGAAGCATTCTTTTACAGCCAAGTAATATTCTAATGTATGGATATAGCACATTTTGTGTATTCATCACTTGATGTACATTTGTATTATTCCCACCTCTGTGTTATTTGAATGGTATTGCTATAATATCTTTGTACAAGCTTCTGTGTAAACATACATGTTCCTCCTTTTGAGTTTATATCAAGGACAGGAATTGCTGGATCATATGATAACTCTTTAATTTTTGAGGAACTACCAGATGTTTTGCAAAGTGGACCCATCATTTACATTCCCATCAGTAATGAATGAGGACTCCAATTCCTTCACATCCTCACCAAAGTGTGTTACTATAGTTCTAAACTCTAGCCCATTGGGTGTGAAGTAATATCCCATTGTGGTTTTGATTTTTGTTTCCTTGATGTCCAATAATGCCAAATATTTTTTCATGTGTTTATGGGCCATTTGGAAAAATGTTTATCCAGTGATTTTCCCATTTTTATTGGATTATCCCTTTATCAGTGAGTTGTAAGAGTTCATTATAGAGTCCATTTACAACTCCTTTATCAAATTATGATTTGTGAATATTTTCTATTTGGTGAGTTCTTTTCACTGTCTTAATACTGTTATCTGAAAGACAATAGGTTTTTCTGTCTTGATACAATTCAATTTGTTAATTTTTTTTCTTTTGCCCATCCTCAGCAAACTAGGTCTAGAGGTCCCATTCAACCCAGCTATTCCCTTTCTGGGTATTTTCCCAGAAGATCTGAAAGCATCATATCACAGCGATATATGTGCACCCATGTTCATAGTGGCACAATTTGTATTTGCTAAATTGTGGAAGCAACCCAAATGTCCATCCACTGAGGAATGGATAAAAAATTGTGGTACTGTTATAAATGGAATATTATTCAGCTATAAAGAAAGATAAACTCAAGGCTTTTACAGGTAAATGATCACAACTAGAGACCATACTCATAAGTGAAATAAACCAGACCTCCATGTGTAAGCAACATATTGTCTCTCTAGTGTAAGAACCTGAAAGAGTGAATAAAAATTAGGAGGTATGACAGACATTGTGAAATGAAAGGAAAATGCTCAAAAGTAAAGAGCAACTGGGGTGAGGGAAAAGAGAAAAGAAAGAAGGGGAAATTATGTATGTATGTATATACAGGATAGCTAACATAGCTGTACTACTGACTTCTATTGCTTTACTGAAAGGAACAGTTAATGATTAATTATTTGATCAATCTTGCATGTCTCCTTTTGTTTTCCTGAGAAACCACTTTGAAGATATCAATACATAATACAACAACCATTGTTAATTTCCTACCACTTTATCTGTAACTCTGCATTGCTTGTATTGTTCTTATGCTATTTTGTAAATGGATGTCTCTTTGTTAATGTTTTCCTTCTTTTATTTTTAAAATAAATTTTAAAAAAAGAACCTCACTAAAATCTAAAAATTTTTCATCAAAAGATATAATTATAAAACCTAGAAAGAAAATAAATTCTTTTTCTTTTGTTGTATTCTTAGGATATTGTATCTAAGAATCCTTTAGCAAATCCAAGTCATGAAGATTTACCACTATATTATCTTCCACAGCTATTATAGTGTTAGTCTTTATATTTAGATCTTTGACTCAGTTTGAGTTAATTTTTATACATGGCATTAGATAAGAATCTGACTTCATATTTTTGCATATGGATAGTCAATTGTCCAAGCACTTCTTGTTGAAAGGCTATTCCTTCTACACTGGATGGTCAAAAATCAGTAAGACAGAGTCACTTAAAATATAACGTCACTTAGTGTTCAAAGTCTGGGTGTGAAGCACCTCTGTGAAACTGTTCCAGGTTGGGAGATCAGTAACAACCATGCCTGAGAGAACTGGGAGCAGATACACTATTCTTTAATGTTTTTACTTTAATCCTCCTCTGTTCTTTCTGGACCCATGAGTCACATGGAGAAGGTAAAGCTCAGTATGGTTGAGGATGTGGCTCATGGTACAGTACTTGCCTAGCATACATGATGGCCATAAACACACACACACACAGTAAAGCTCAACTGTAGAGTTAATGCGATTTTTCTAGGGACTACGTGGGAAATACAAATTAAATTTCTGTAGGGAAATGGACGTACCTGGGAAACATAATGTTGAGTGAAACAAACCAGACCCACAAGCTTTGATACTGTATTATATCTCATTTGAGTGAGGCAAAGTTTAAAAATAAAAAACCAAAGGATGGATGGAAAGGGACAAGGGGATGGATCTCTTGCAATAGGGAAGTGGTCCAAGGGAATGAGGATGAGGGGTGAGGAGAAGGGGAAGAGGAAATAAGAATAATAAAGATGTGCCATGTATAGGGGCCTAATAACCTCAATGAATGTAAACATTATATGCCATAACACGACCAAAGACAAATAATAAGAAGAATGACAAATGGGCTGGGGGAAGGGCAGGTGTAGAGAAGGGGATTAGAAAGAAAGTAAGCTGTAGTATGTACATGTGACAGTTCCCCAAGATAATTGTAAACTACATGAACTGCAAACACGTACAAATAAAATTAAAAATGTAAAAAAATAAAGCAAGGAAATTAAAAAGAAATTCCTAAATATACACATCCTTTTTATCCTGACAACATCCTTGCCAGGAATTTAACACTTGGACATGCTTTAAAAATTCACAAATGGGGCCAGGGATATAGCTCCATGGCATAAGCGCCTGCCTGGCAATTGCAACGTCCTGAGTTCGATTCCCGGTACCAAAAAAAAAAAAATTCACAAGTATTCATGGATAACAATGTCCACTGAAATATTTTGGGTAAAAAGAAAATCCAGGACACAACCAAACTGGCTATCAATGGGATGGCTGGTAAACAAAGGTTTTAAAGTTACACAGATAAAATACTATGCAGATACCTTATCTAGGTAGCAACTACTTTGAAGATAACAATATGCAACATAATAAGCATTGTTAATTTCCTATCATCCTGTTTTGAAATTCTGTATCATTTTTATTGTTTTTTCCTCTTTTTAAAATAAAAAAGAAAATACTATGTAGAATATTGAAAGAATGAAACAGACCTCATCTAAAAGAATGAAGTATATGTTAAGATAGGAATGATCTCAAGCTTTTATTAGAAAATAAGATACGGAACAGTGTGAAAGCCAGACACGGTGGTGCACGTCTGTAATCCCAGCACTCAGGAGGCTGAGGCAGGAGGATCATTGTGAGTTCGAGGCATTTGGGCTACATAGTGAGCTCCAGGCCAGCCTGAACTGCATATTGAGACCCCATCTCAAAACAAAAACAAAACAAAAAGAACAGTATGAGAAATTTGATCATTGTGCAACTTTTAAAAATACGTAACTGGGTGTGTGGGTGGGGACACTGCTTTTCTTCTTAGAAGAAATAATAAAAATTATGTCTTCTGTTTATACTTGGCAAAAGATTATGAGGCATGAATGAGTCATTTAGGTAAGGTTAGTTTGCTATAATCCCAAATACATGGATGTATTTTTAAATGCCAGCAGGGTTACCTGAGTGGGGAGATTTGGAGTCCATTTTTTTTCTTCTTTTTCTTATCTGTGTTAAAGTAAAATGTCACAAAGAATTTATGGAGTACAACTGTATGCTTCTCAAAGTACAAGCATGTGGGGTGAAATTCCTAGTTTTCTCAGTCACTTAGTTCCACGGGATCTCAGGGCCATCCGTGCCACTCTAACTCCCCTGAGTCAAAAGCACAGCAGTGGGTCACTGTTGAAAGCTTCAGATGGGACAGGCTCTTGTGACACTGATGTTCAGGCAGGACAGTGGCAAGTGCCTGCAGGTGGTTTCACTGCGGTTCTTGCTCCTGAAAGCAAGGTCCATGGAGCAGCACATTCAGCACCTCTGGAGCATTAACTGCAGTTGCACAACCCCAGGACTCACTCAGACCTACTGAGCCAGAATCGGCATTTTCCAGGGTTCCTGGGTAAGAAGGAGCACACTAACATCTAAGAGAGACCCTGGGTGAGCTAGGAGGTTACATCCCTGGTTGCACTCTGTCTTCCCAACCATGGACATGCGAAATCCAATCTCTGGAGCTGCCCCTTGCATGAGAGACTCCACTGTGCAACTGGATACTGAACACTCCTGTAACAATCAGTAGCTCCTTCTTCGGTGCTCCCACAAATTTTATTCTTCTATCCTTACAGAATTGTGCCATCCTTTCTTGACTTTTCATGCCCATTTTGACTTTTCAAAGTGGAGGCTCAAAAGCTATTAAAGAATGTCAGGTGCATCATTACCTTCACTTATTGCAGATGCACAATACAAAGTTGAGGAGTAAAAATTATGATTCAGACACAGTCTGGAAACCTAGCGATGGATAACAGGGGCTTTGTCTTTTCTCTCTCTCTCAGCGGGTGTGTGAGGAGCTCAGTTTGAGCTGACTTATGTTTTATCTGACCCAATATTTGTACACCACAAGAGAGAAGTTTGAGCTAAATGAGCACTCAACTTCCTCCCAATCAATTCACAGCCTCCATTACAGCTACAATTCCTAGCTGTCTGTCAGTTAACAGACACGTGTATAGGCATCGGAAGATATCATATGCACCCTTTAACCTGTAAGACAGGTATGACTGGACCCTTCACACTGTACTTCAATCCCTAACACCAACCCAATCTTGCTTTCCATTGCAGTTCTTCACCTGACCCTTACGCGTATATTGTACCCACACCCATGTCCCACAAAAATCAAGGCGAGATCAGTGAGTTACTCTGATGTTTATTTTAATGCGTCTTAGTCCACACAGTTGGTATAAAATCAGAAAAAGCAAAGCAAAAAATGAAGGTCTGGAGTCTTAGCATCAAAAGGGCACCATATATACATCTACAGTTGGTGGCCAATACAAGTCATTGCCAGACAGTCCTTGGAGGCACAGAACATTCTAGACCCACCTAAGCCCTGGGAACTCACAGTCCCAAGGGTCTAGACACTTGTCCTGATGCTCTGACCATAAGAAAAATGTGGGAGTGATGAAGACTTTAAGATTTATTCATTATTATAATAACAGCAGCCTAGCTAGGTACAAAAGCGGTTATAAACCATTTATATTACACAAATTATCTAGGTCTCCATTCTACTTTATGTCATAAAATTGTTAACTGAATTTCCAGTGAGTCATTTAGATGATTAGTGATAATATAAGGAATGGTAAATCCATAGCACCATTTCACAGATTTGCTGTCACCGATTTCTCATTTAGACACGTGACCGAGATACCGTACCTGCAAGAGCAAGTGTTCCAAAGCCACAACCATGTTTTTGCTGAGGGTTCCAGTCTGGGCGTTTTAGCTGTGCTTGCCTAAGGCGTCACACAGAAGTTTAGGCAGTGGATGTTTCTAGTGGATACACTGGGTCACCTACAATTTAAGGGCTTTCAGCCACTTGGGGTTTATCCCCACACTTTGGTTTCCTATGAGGTGGAATGGGAGGGAGGTATCTTGTTTCAAATGAAGGGGAAGGGGCTATATATCAAGTTAGTTTATTCTGGGGAAAACCAAAGATCAGGAAACAAAACAAAAACACCAAGCTTGATTATACTGTTAGGATGTAAAGTTCCTTAGCTACTTCTTTAAGGTTCAACACGAGGCTGATGGTCAACATAAAAAGCAAACAATACTATGTACATATATGTAAAAAGTGTTATAAATAGGTTTATAAACCATAGATATTATATACATCTTCAGTCAACAGCAATCCCCCCCTCAACTGCTTTCTGTTTGGTTTGGCTGGAGTTTGGGTATTTGGCTACTCTTTTTGTTGGTTTTTGTTTTTCCTGTTTCCTCGTTTCCTTCCTCCCTTCCCTGTGTACGCTCAGAGCCTCAGACAGACAGTCAGGGCACCTCATTCACGTTTCCGTAAGATCACATAGATGACGCCACTGAGGAGGGCCAGGGGGAAGGCCACCCAGGCCAGGATGTAGGCGAAGCCGTAGGAGTACTCGGGGTTGGAATGCCACTCGGGGTGCCGCACCGTGTAGATGGCTGCCGCAGTCATCACGCAGAGACCTGGGAATGAGAGGGATGAGTTGGTGAGGGGGTGTTCGTGATGAGGTCTCCCCCTTCTGCCATCCTGGTCCCTGATGCAGGAAGAGTATGTTTAAGTGTGGGGGTAACATGCTCATAGACCAGATCTGGGAGGAGGCAGGTGGTCGATATGGGAATGAGGTAAATGCATTGCTCTCCACTTCTGGGTCCCTCAAGCTGCTATCTCTGAGGGTCCTCAACATATCGTCTGCCTCACTTCTTTTTTTTCACTGTCAACAATTCCAAGGCTACAGAGGGTGACCAGCTAGTACTTAAGGTGCTAGATAAGCCTGTCTCTTTCTTTCTCAACAGGGCTGGGTGCAGAAGCTCCTGGGAACTGGTGAACCACTCCCTACAGAAGGACAGAGGCACGACCAGAAAGCAGTGGAAGTGATGTGACACGGTACATTACTGGAGTCATGGCCCAGCGCAAGTCTTGAGCTCCTGTAGATCAAAGATGCCTAGGGTCCCTTCCGCAGGGGTTCCCCATGAAAGCAGGCAGTAACTATGGGCATTGCTGGGCAGACAGGGGATGGCACAGAGGAGAAAAGAGGGTGACAAGGAAATGAGGAAGAAGAAAATGCAGGTGGGAACCAAAGCTGTAGAGACCATCAAGGACCAGCGCCATTACGCGTGGTGCCCTAGGGCTGGATTTGAAGCTGAGACAGGTAGAAAAGACGTCTAATACCTACATAGGTCAGGCCATCCTCCCTGGCCAGCAGGGCAGCCCTTGGTGTGCGAGGAGGAAATGCCTCCACCTTGGGCCCTGTTCAGCATTCAGTTCAAGCCTGATGGCCTATTCCCTTGTGACAATCAGTGTCCCTCCACAGGGAGGGGTTCCATGATGTCAGCAGTCCAGCCTGCAGCTGCACAAAGCCTGGACTGTTCCCTCTTGAAAACAGGGTCTTTGAGAAGCCCTGAGTGACTCTATTATAAACCCAGCATGCCGTGTGGGATTCATGTGGTTCCAAAGATCCCAATGCCCTGAACCACCTACATCTAACCTCCCTGCTATTCGAGCTGCTATCTTGGTGGACACTGCAACTTTGTTTAAACAAAGTGCAGAAGTGGGACTATGTCACATTAACCCCCCTGGTGAGATTGTCCTTCTGTAACTCAGAGGAGAAAAATACCCACTCAATTGGCCCCCGTCAAGAAAGCCACACAATAGTCCTGGAACTACTGTGGGATGGAATCCAGGACCTGTTGCTACCTACAGAAAGTTCAGGAGACACAGAAGATGTCTATGTCAGAGGAAAACCATAGCTGACGGTTGCTGATCAGGGACAGGAGCAGTTTTGATCTGCTGAACACATTCAATTTGCCTTAAGGTCCAGGATCCTCAGTATCTTGCCTGACTGCTCCCTGGGGCACCTCTCCAAAGTACCTGTTCTTGTCTTTTAAGCAGTGTTGAAATTGTCTTGTGCTACATGTGACTTACCTAATGAGGATAGGGCTCTAAGGAAGGAAACATGCCCATAGAAGAAGGCGAGGCGTTAACAGAGGGCAAGGGAGCCAGCACAATGCCCGTGTGAGCAGGACTTCTGCACAGGGTATCTAACCAGCTGCTGGTATAAAAATTTGCCTTGGTGGCCATGTAGATGAGCTATGCTCTGATTTCACTGGCAAAAAGAGAACAGCAGGCTCCATCCTTGACCAAGAGGGACAGGAAGAGGCAGAATACACAAGTGCAGTAACTAATTAGGTGACTAGAAGACCCTAACAGAACCTCAGAAATGAATGAAGCTAAGCTTACCTGTAAAAGCAGTGAGCTTAGATATTTACAAACCCAAGTGAAGATACATACTTTATTGTTGTTAGGAGGCTGATGTTCTACCAAATATATCATTAGTACTAGGCTGCCTGCATGTTAAACAGCATATATGCTCTGAAATACAGAAAGAAATGACTCTTGGACTGAGTACCCTCTGTCTGAATCCCAAGGCATTAACGTCACACAACAGTAATTCCCAAAAGCCGAACATTCTTCTTAATAAGTGGATGTGATCAACTTTCTCAGTAACCAGTAGATGGAGATGTGTCATGAAGGCCCCTATGAGTCAGTGAGGTCCTGCCCAGAGCCAGGTGTTCTGCTGTCACAACAGATTAGCAACCCTTACTTCGCAGTGACTGAGACCCCCTGGGAGTGTCCCAAGTCTAAAAATGCAGGTCAGCTTTAAGTGGAAGGACACTGACCCCATGCAGACACTGAGGTGCTGGGGATTCAGATTTCTATTTGTCTCAGGTTGCTGGCTGTAACAACCCCCTAAACTTTCTCCCTACAGCCTTTTGAAAGAGAAAGGTTTCAACCTTTCTAACAGTAACAGCAACCTCAGGGAAGTGACTGGAGCCCAGAACTTTTGGAAGGAGCCACCATGGGCCAAAGCCAGAGAAAGTAACTCAGGGAACTCCCTATTTCCGCAACATTTCCATCCCCTTGGGTCTCCTAAACGTGGAATGACTGCTGCTACGCACAGGCACTGTTCCCAACGCTGAGAGCACCACGGTAAGTGAAACAACGACCCCACTTTCACGGGGCGCCTGTGCAGAACACATATCCATGGCTAGTTTTCACACAGTGTGATATGATTTAAAGAGGGAGAAATGCCCCAGATGCCTTAAGAACTCAGACGGCACTGAGTCCGCATGAGGGGTGGGGACACAAGCCTAGAGGAGATGGTGCTTGAGCTGGGTGAATAAGGGGTGACGAGGTGAGGAGAGGCAGGAAGGCACCCTGTAACTGGAAGGATGGGAGTGAAGCTAAGAAGCCTGAGAACATATGATGGACACACCGCAGATAAAATAGTGTCATGTGACAGGCAGGCTCCGGAGCTCACTGAGATCCATGAAGGAGAGCATCTTGGAGGCACATTAAGGAGGCTGTGACAGGAAGGCGGGGGGAGCGGGGGCTTCAGCATGGGAGAAACATGATCATACGCGTGCGTCAGAAAGATCCCAGCAGCAGGCAGGAAGAGGACTTAGTGTATGGTGCAAGGTAAGAGGCCAGAGGGGCCTGAGGAGGCTTTTATACAGCTGCACTAGGGTGAGAGTAAAGAGAAAAACAGGAACAGCACCTCTGGAGCATGACACACGGTGGAACACTCCATAGTGGACTGGACCCAGGGCAAGGGAGAGGAGCACTGCATGGGCCTGGGTTAAGCAGGACCTCCCGTCCAGTGCGCACAGGCAGCTGGGCACATAGGATGTCCAGGGCACACAGTTTCAAGGAAGGAACCGTCAAGAGTGTGGAGAGGAGAGCCAGGGTCTGGCCAGTGGAAGACTTCAGTGTCCCTTAAGGACTTGCACTTCCACGTGAGAGGCAGGTGTGGAAGCCAGAGTGAAGTCTGCTAGAAAGGGAGGATCGGGCAAGACCACCAGCATGGCTGGTGGCTGAGACACAGTCCTGAGGCGGGTTGATGAGTGCTTCTGCCTCACTCTTATCTCATTCTCTAGGCCAGGACACAAGGTGGGCCAGGGAGAGGCTGAAACACTTGTCACCGTGACAGTACGGGGCTGCAGGGTTGCCTCTCACCTACATAGAGCCTCCTCTGTGCTCTGGTTCTATGTCCATTTCCAGGATCCAGCTGACCACCTCTGCCAAGAGGGCAGCGACAGCACTACTGGACTCCCATTTGGGCAGAGCCAGGGGAATTCCCTCCTGGTCAGGGTTTCTAAACGTGCTGTCTGACTCAGGCCATCTCTGAGTCACCTGGAACAGAAAGACTCACAGTGCTTTCATTAATCTCCACCCAAATTCTTTTGTTTAAATGTCCTTTGTCTATACCAATCTATTTAAAATCAAAGAAATAAAACAAATGGAAAAGGTTACACTCACTCAGGAGTCTCTCTCTACTATCTTTTTGTCCTTCTTAACCACAGTGACTGTACATTTGACCTGAGCTGCATGTCACCATGGCAACACAATTATCTAATCATCCAACAAATAGTTATTCAGGGAATCTTATTATGTGCCTATGTCGAGCTATTTTCTGGGCATAAGTACTCAATTAATGCAGAACATGCAAATCCTTCTTTCTAGGTCTGGGAATTTCTTGAAATTTTCCCATGTGTATAACCCAACCAAAAAGAGTACAGGCAAGGATAACTACTGTCCCAAAGCAGATGGCTACAGTTCTGAAAATTGAGGGTGACTCCAACATCCGGGAATAGGATCAGGATGCTCTTCCTCTGATAAAGAGATTAAGAAGAATCTATGGCTCATGAATGGAATTAGCTGTCTGTGGGGAAATGTGTTAGAAGACCTCATAGAGAGACTGGGGAGGGTCTGATGGCTACATGAATAGTTCCCAAGCCTGGATGCACATCAGAGTCACCCAGGAAGCAGCCCTGCCCCCGAGCTATGAAACGAAACTCACCAGGGATGAGGGCTGAATGCTGGCAGAGTTTTTCAACAGCACCTCAGCTGATTCTGATGTACAGCTGAGGCTGAAAAGCACTGAACTAGGAGGTACCTTTAACCTGCCTTTGGAAGCAGCCAGCCTAAGACATGTGTAAGCAGCAAGATGGCAAATGTGTGACCTGTGGCTTAGTATGACCTGGAGAAGCAATAATGAGGCAAACCAGGGAGAGTTCTAGTCACACAAAAAGCTGTAATCCCAAGGAAGGCAGAGACAACTCCTATACTAGCCCAAGAGCCCCATCTACTGCCTTTCCTGCAACCTGGTGTGTACGATCGATCCATACAGATCACAGCTGGTCTTAAAAGAAAGCTGTGCACATAGCATACTCTGTAACATGTTTGGAAACCCAACAGGGATTCTGGAAGTTTCCACTTAAGATGCTTCATTGCTTTGAGGAGGATTTTCCATGCATGGAATCTAGCTGCCATGCAAAGTACACTTAGACTTTGCACTCCACAATCATAAGTTACTTTCTCATTCCCCTTCTGCCCCCGTTATCCCTCCCTCTTTTCTTCCCTTTCCTATCTTTCCCTCCCCATCTCTTCCTCTCTCCCTCTCCCCTTCTCTTTCCCTTTCTCCCTCTCCCTCTTCCTCTCTCCCTCCTGGCCCCATTTTGTTACTGCCATAAATTGGGAAGAAATGAGACAAGGTTGATTCAGAGTTGCTACAAGCTAAAGAAGTCCAGAAATCTCCAAGCAGAGTCCCTGACTCTTAGTTCTCAGCTTTAGTGGGAAGACTCTACAACAATTTCAAATGAACATTTGGGAGATCCTTGCCTCCTAGGAGACCAACCTTCAGATCAGTTGGCTGGAGCCCATCAGTAAGCACAGAAAATTCTTAGGACATGGAAATTACAACTGCTATTTCAGTCCAACACTTCTTAATCCTGATAGCTTCCTATTTAAAGATGGACCATTCAACTGACAAACTGTTAACTGAAAATGAAGTCCCATGAGAGATAAGCAGTGGGATTCAAAGGGGATAAAGAAAAACAAATAATGTGGTTTTAAATTCAGAGAGATTTATGGCAGAATTCTAAAATGCTTCCACTGAGTTCAAAAGAAAAGTGAAGTGATGAAGCAAATATGGATCAGTAAATACACTTGGGAAGTAGAACATCTCCAGACCCAAGACCTTTTGGTGGAAGTGAAACGTAGTAATTTAGCACAAAGCACAGTTACACGTGTTGCCTAACGGTTCCTATCTCTGAACTTCTGAGTTTTGATCTACAATGATGGTTACTAAGAAGATACTGTGAAAAGAATTTAAAGCAGAACTATCTCAGTGGAAAGAATGCACGAGAAAATCCTACCTATTATAAAAAGCCCTTTCCACAATGATTTAGGTCTTCTTAGTACAATATTTTTAGCTTGACTAGTTCTGATAGTGCCAGCTATGGTTCACACAGATAAATGGGAGTTTTGGAAAAGGAAGTTTATGCCTTGGATTTTTTTGTTCTTTAAAATTCTGGATGGATTCTGTGTTTTTTTAATACAAAGACAAGTGCCTAATTACATTCAGTCCACATGGGATAGGAAGGAACACAAGCATTCAAAGACCTGCCATGAGCTGGGTGGCCTTTGTTTACCTTCCCTTGAGTTTTATTCATCAGTAAAATAATAAGCTCGTACATGTTAAAATAAATATTTTACAAAACTTCTTGTTCCTGAGCCTGTTTTAATTTATCCTGAGGATACATCCACTGATGCAATGTCTGATTTGATATCAAACTATCACCAGTGAGTTGAAAAAGAAACCCCAGATTCGGGCCCGGTGGTATACACCTATAATCCCAACACTCTGAAAGGACTGGGCAGGAGGATCACAAGTTCGAGCCCAATGTGGACAATTTAGCAACTTATAGAGACTCTGTCTCAAATTTTAAAAAAAAAGTGGTGTGTGTATGTGTGCGTGCTGGGGTTGTAGTTTGTTGTAAAGGCCCTGGGTTCCATCCCCAACACTGAAAAAAAAAATACATCAAGCAGTTTCTGTATTATGCCTGGAAATGAAATGAAAGGTAACTCTTTGCTTTCATTTTACCTATAAATGGTTTTTAATGCATAATTAGTCATTTAACAAGCTGGAAACAACCTATGAGCTTTATTTAGAATAATAAAACCAGTGCAAGTAGCAAAGCCTTACTTGGCCTAGAAGTCCTAAAATCTTGAGTATTGAAATGCTGATTTTATATGTTTGGTGAAAAAGGGCTCTTCAGTTTACTTCTTCATTCCAGGAAAGGGGAACATTTTGGATCATGGAAAAAGTCATCAACATTCACCTCAGGCTGTGTCTTTCTGTACAGCCAGGCAGAGGCATCACATCTGCCCATCCAGTCCCCAAGGACACATGGGCTCTTTCCAACTCTCCAGTGACTGCTCCTGAGCAGAGGGTGGTGCTACTGCATGCATTATGGGTGGCCCGACCACCAATTAAAACATGAGATGCTCTATCCTTTGCTGTGCAGAGGGCCAGAACCGACAATATCTCATAGTACCCAGGCATAATCTGGTAGATGGAGTGTATGACCTGTGACCCTGAACTATAGAATTCACAACTCTATCTGCCTCTAATTTTCTCCAATGCCCTGAAAATCCAGCCACCTGGCAGAAAGTCACCTGATGGAAAGGTAAGAGTCAATGAGGCAAGACATGGACCAGAGTCTAGAGATATCCCTTCCACAACAGGAGTTTCGAGGATTCTGCACACTGTGACTGTGAATGATCTCCTGAGCCCAGTGCAGGGAGAGATGAAGGAGACCTCTCCTCTGTTTTCCTGTGCTGTCACAGTCCCATGTTTAGCAGTGATGGCATGTTGCATAGAGGTATCAAAATGAAGATATCAGGGATACTTGTAACAGTAAGTGCAAGTCCAGTGGAATCTAGGAACTAGAGAAAGGAGGGTAAGAAGTTATCGGCGTGACTATATCACTATTTACAGGTTAGAGACAGCCTTGCACCTGAGAACAACAGCCCTCAGCCCATCAGGATTGCTCTCTAAGTGGAGATGATTTCTTAGGATACAGTGTAAGCACAGAACAAAGTGCTCAAGATTGGCCTTGGCCAGACTGACATCCTCAGTATTCATGTCTGATGATGTGTAGCTTCATTCCTGGGGTCAGGTCTGGCCTGGCTGGTGATATTCCTATCACAGCCTCTACATCTTCTTTCATATTCACCTCATTCCATGGGAAAGTAGAGAACTCCCAAGTTCAGAGATACATGTACACATGCACACACACGTACACACACACAGGCACACACACACATACACCCATACTTTATGAAAAGCATAACTCAGACTCATGAACATCTGTCATTCTGGGGCCACACCCTTGGTTGGACAGGCCCAACTTCCACATGGATTTCACTACCCACAACTTACCAGCAAGGATCTGGAAGATTCCAGTGATGTAAAAGCGGCCTCCCTTGGTGAGGGTGAAAAGCTGGCAGAAGAACAGGAACAGAGAGAGGACGCTGAAAATGACGGACAGGATCATGGTGGCCTGGACAGACTGCAGCCATTCTGGGGGAAAAGACACTTGGTTAGAAAGGTCAGTCAAAGGCCTGCCACGATGCATGTGGAGCCCAAAGAGCTCAGACCGCTTAGAGACACCGTCCTCATGGGAAGAAGCAGTGCATTCCTTAGCAGAATTCAGGCAAGCTGCTTCACTTCATGCCTTACGATGACACCTCATTTTACAGTTTCTTTCCTGTTTAACTGTGGACATTTTGACAAGAAGCTGTAAAGAAATTATAGCCCTGCCAGTAGGAGTTAGCCTCAATTGAGAATACATTGATTTCCTGCCAAGGTTGTTACCAAATGTTACTTAAGTATACAGATGACCTCTGACCTAAGATGCCTTGATGAAGAAGTCTTTGACATGACAGTGGTGTAAAAGTGACACACAGTCAGTAAAACCCGTACTTTAAATTCGGAATTTGGATCTTTTCCTGGGCTAATGACAGGCAGGAGGTTCTGTCCCACAAGGCCAGGCAGCGGCAGGCGCCACAGGTCTCAGTCACAGGTCTCAGGTCACGGTGGAAACAACCAGCACTCTAGCGCAGTGCGATGCTAAGCGGGATGCCCAGTAGGTTAGGTGTATCAAGAGTATCTTTGCTTTACAATTTTTTTCAATTTCTGATTGGCTTATTGAGACATAACCTCGATGTAAACCAAGGAGCTTCGGTATGTATATCTGTTAGAGGCCTGAATCCTCCCCGTGCTTCCCGATTCCTGCTTGCCTTTAAGGATCTTCAAAGCACTTACAGAACCCCTATAATGTAGCCTAAAAAGAATAGTTTAAAACAACCATTCAAAATATTAGCATTCTCCAAAGAGATCAAGGGGGTAGGTATTTTGTACAAAGCCGGAAACAATGCTGAAGATGACAGATAGGCTTTGTATAAAGATGAACTCCACTTGCTCAGCTGATCCCTATCTTTTTCTTGGTCAGCCTTGATGATGGCCTTTACCCTCAGCACCGAGCAGTTTGTGCTCACTCAAATCACCAGATAGGAGGAGGGCTTACATGTCCTCATCTTTGTTGAGCCTCCAACCTTTGACCAAACTTCTAAGCTTTCAAAAGAAATTCAGGCAAGGAAGAGGGTACCTCCGTGCTTTCTCCAGTTCACTGTCTAAACATAAACCAGTATCCTTTCAGGAGGGAAGGGAGTTAAGGAAATGCTCTGAGATCAGCACAATAGATGGAAGCCCTTGTGTCCACCCAGACATGCTGCCCTTAGCTTTGCCCTGGGTGCACAATGCAGCAGCCCCTGCCCTCAATGAGGAAGAACAACTGCAGCAGAGGGGCTTTTATTCTCAGCTCACTACCTGGCTAATGAGCAGTGCTTAACAGTGTACACATCCATACTTTTTAACACAGTAGTGAAAACTATAGAATTTGAATGGTTTATACAGGTGAGCATCCCTAATGCAATGTCTGAAATGCAAAATGATTCAAAATTGAAGACTTTTTAACTCAATATAATGTCACACATGAAATGTTCTAAGCAAAAAATTACTAAGCATATTCTATAAAAATTATCTCCAGGGTATATGTATAAGTTGTATACAAAACAAATGAATTTTATGTCTACAACTAGGCCACATCTACTAGAAATTTCTCTGCATATGTAGATTTCCAATATTTCAAAAGAAATCCTAAATTTAAAATACTTTGGTGTCAAGTATTTTGAATACTGGATACCTAACCTGTAATTAATAACTGGAAAACATAAACCCATTATGAGTTGTGAGTAGCTCAGGGAAGAATTTCACTGGGCAGATTAGGTTAACTGGTACTGCAATTTCACATAAGATTTTTCTGACTCAGACTGGAATTATTTTAGAGTCAGAAGAAACCTGAGGGATCGATCAATACAGCCTTTTGCACTGACAGAAATTTCCAAAGATGTTTATGAGCATGGCCAAGTTCAGGCCCTTGATTCCAGTCCGAACTCTCTCTATTATAACAAATGGACATTTCTTCTCTTTTTTCAATGCTTTTGCCAATTAAGGCAAGAAAACTATATCTGATGGGTTGTAAGCCATCCTGACTTCATTTTAACATATCTTTCACTAACTGCTTATCTTCACTTACTAGCATAGCTTTGCTGGAAGAGCATTTTGCCCATAATATTATTTTTCAAATTACCTGACCCTGTGATATAGACACAGCTAGAAAGCAAGAAATCTGAGACCCAAATTTGTACAAAAACATGTGACTCACTTTGGCTGAGAAATTTCTTCTCTGTGAGCTGTAATAAAGGGCGGGCTGATAGAGATGAGACCTTGATTTCTTTCTCAAGTCTAAGATATTTATCTTCATCTTTATCTGCACTCTCATTATCAGCATGAACTAATACTGGATCTCATATAGAAAGAAAATGTAAAATATTTATATGTCAAATTTACACAAATAGGCAGGACACCTTAGATACAATAACATACTCAAATCTTTCTTGAAACCACTTTCACCAATAATTTGAACACTCGTTCCAACCTCATTACAACAGAGTGATCTGGCCCTAAGTTTTTCTCAGATTAGGCCAGAAGGTTTTATTCAGTGAACATTTGATCAATACCTAGCAATTAATCAATACCTTGAGCCAAGTCCTCTGGTTGGCTCTGGGGATACAAGATGAAGGCGATGTTTTCTCAACCATAAACACAATAAAAAACATGTAAATTAAGATTGAAAGTCCTGCTGTATTACCAACATAATATATATGAAATTGTTTCATTATAAGACATTGAATATTACCTGTAATTAAATCATTCTAGGCATATTCTGATATGAAAGACACCTAAACAAATAGCAGTTGAAAATAAGACAATTTGCTGGAAGCCCCAGGCAAACACTAATAAAAAGAAAGCAAATAAAGTACCAACAGCATCTGAAAAAGCAGAATATAAATTGAAAAAATAAAAGTAGCCAAAGACAAATATTTTATAGAAGACTCAGTTTACTTTATCCAAGATTGGAGAAATAACAATCACAAATCTCTATGCATATAACAAGCCATAGAAAAAAGTATAAAGCAAATATAACCAAATATGTGAAGAAATTTGTAATATCAAAATCACAGTGGAAGACTTTAGCTTCTTGCTTCAGAACTTCTAAGTCAGAAGACCAAAAGTAAGGAAGGATCTAGACTGTTCACAGAACATATTAGTAAATTCAGTGTAATAGGTGTACAGAAAACAACAAAGACTGGAAATTATTTTCAAACACACATGGAGGTATTGCAAACTATAGATTAGGAAAAAAAAAAGGTCTCAGATCTCAAAGAAAGTTGAAACATATAGGCACAACATACAACTAAAGGCAATCAGATTTCAGAAAAAATTTTAAAACTATCCAAAATAAATTTGGGTATTCAAAGTCAATTCCCTAGAAAATCCACTGGACAAAGAAACCAAGTTGACCGAGGCATGATGGTGCACACAATACAGATGAAAGCAGAGGTTAATAAAATAGAAAAAATATGCACATCCATAATAAAAATATCTGGTTTGGGGAGCATCAAAAAGGTAGACCAATACTAAAGAACATAAAAGAAGTTCAGAAGCAGAAACACATTATTTTCCTGGATAGAAGCACTCAAAGTTGTAAAAATGACAATTTTATCCAAAGTAATCCACAAACTGAATGCTACTCTAATCAGTAACCCAACTGATTCAAAAATTCTGTGAAAGACAATGAGTGATAGAAGCCAAGAAAAACATTGCATCAAACACAATAGTAGTAACTAACAAAATAACAACAAAACTAAAACGAAAAACTAAATAACAATAACAAATAAATAAAAGAAAACCAGAAAATCAAACAAAACCAACAAAGCAGCATATCATCTACTAGATATCTGTTGTTTCTATTATATTATATGCTATATATTAAATTTATACCTAGTTAATAAAATTATATCTTTATAATATATAATTACTAAATTAACAGGAATGTTTTTGTACATATGCAAAGTTTGTGTTCTATTTATATATTTTAGTAATGGAAACAATGAGATCTTAATCATACAAGTAACAGTGGGACAGAATTGAGATTTTGGAAGTTGTCTTCGTTATTTTACTCATCACTGATACTAAATATGCCGGGGGAGAGGTGTACTTTGGCTCATGTTCATGATCCAGTGGCTCAACCACAGAAAACAGCATGGTGGAAAGGCCGGGGCAGAGGAATGCCACTCAAGCCACAGTGGCCAGGAAGCAGCTAGGAGCTTTGTCCTCTCAGGCCACATCCTTAATACTGCTCTTCCTATCAGACGCCATCTCCTAATAGCAAGTCAGCTATAGCAACGATTCAATCACCTCCCCAAAGCCTTTCCCATGAGCACATGAGGCCTTTGGAGGTCACTCGCCATCTAAACCACAACACACATATACATATACGTATACATTTAGTGTATAAAATATAAAAAGACAAGATCAAATCAATAAAGAAAGAACACCACTGATAAGTGATCGGTTATTTGGTAAAAAATAAAATTAGATCTCTAGCTCACATCATTCATAAAATTAAACTCCAGAGGGAGCAAAGAGACAAATGTACAATTAAAAAGCCATACAAATGTGTGATTTACAGAAGAAAGACATGAGTAGACAGAAAACATAGTAAAAGGTGCCCTACATCACTACTACTTGGGGAAATGCAAGTAAAACCCATGAAAAATGTGTTATCAATGTCTACCCATCAAGTTGATGAAAATTAAAAAATTGATAATATCAGTAGAGTATAAAATATATGTATATGCTGTTCATAGGACTAATAATAACATAAATCCTTTTATAACCACCAATTTTGTAGAATATATTTAAACCTTTCAATGCTTACAACATAATAACAATTTAATCAATATATCCCAGATTAAATACTTGAACATATCCTTAAGAAGAAATTAATAAGGATGTTCACTGTAGTGTCATTCCTATCAGGGAAAATAAATTAGGGCATATCTCCACTATGAAGCATATTTCAGGACCTAGAAAAAAATCACATCAGGAAATGA